AAGTACTTAATGAAGCATAATAAGTAAATGATAAAAATTTCAAAATGATTGCACTGCTTTAAAGCCCTTTGACCTTTAATAATGTGTGGATGCACCCTGATGTGCTACGCATTCTCCAACGCGCCTAGGCATGCTTCTGATCAGGTGGTCAATGTCCTCCTGTGGTATCTCATTCTAGGCAACCACCAACTCCTCTCGAAGTGCTTCTAGAGTCTGAGAAGGACGTTGCAAATTGAGCAATCTCCTACCCATCATATCCCACATGTGCTCAATTGGGGATAAGTCGGGAGATCTTGGTGGCCATGGTAACAATGTGACATCATTATGTTGAAAGAAGTCTATTGTGACTCTTGCAACATGTGGTCGGGCATTATCTTGTTGGAAAGTTGGATCTGCCAGGATGTCAAGATAGGGTAAAAGATGGGGTTCTAGAACTTCGTGGATATAACGCTGCAACGCTGCGCGTTCATGTTACCTCTGATGAAGATTAAAGGTGACCTGGAACCACAACCTATAGCACCCCAAACCATAACTCCAACAGTGTGATGAACATGTCTTTCAACAAAAAACTGTGGATTCCTCCTTTCACCACGTCGCCTTCTAACCCTGGCACGACCATCGTGCATGCCTAAACAAAATCGAGACTCGTCACTAAAGACAATACTGTTCCATTCCTGATCCCAGAGTGACCGTTGTCTGCACCACTCAAGGCGATTACGTCGGTGTTCTCGAGTGAAAGGGAGGACCCAGTGTGGCCGGTATGAAAACAAGCCCAAACTTCTCATTCGTCGGTAAACACTTCGCATGGCAATGGGTCTTCCGTGTTCTGCAAACCATTCATTTGCAATGGACCTGGTAGTGGAGAAACGGTCCCTTAAGGCCAATAATCTTAGGCGGCGATCTTCACGGTCTGTTGTTCTACGGCGGCGTCCAGTGCCCCTTGCTCTTTGCGTACGGCCTTCTCGAAGCCATGCCTGACAACACCTAACCACAGTGTCTACACTTCTTTGCACTCTAACTGCAATTGCCCGAAAAGAAGGTCCAGCTTCCCGAAGTCCCACTATACGGCCCCTATCAAACTCACTAAGTTGCCGAAATCGTACAGGTCTCCGTACTCTAGGTATCGTAACCGATCCTAAAGGATGTCAAGAACCAAAATCCGCCAACGTTGATTCTTTACTGCGGCTGAAATATTCATTTTCAGAGCGTTAGTGAATTAAAAAAAAGCAGTATAAAAACCGGAATGTCCAACTGATAAAGCTGAAAATTTTTTCACTTGTTATTTACAGTAAGATAAATACATTCACCAACTTTTATTAAAATAAAACCATTTAAACTGGGTGTTCGGATTTATATGTCACTTAGTGTATATTGTACTGATAGTTGTCATTCTTGTTTATTTCCAGATCTTTCGATATGGTAATCTTACATGTTTTTCTGGCCAAATTAAACCTCATCTATGTTTCAAATTCCTCTTTATTGTGCGACGTTTTGGTCCAATGGTGAACTTTTTCAAGTAGAATTGACACTTATGACAATATATTTTGTTTATCTGTCTTCCAGGTGACACTTTGTTTTTACTTTGATCTGCACATTCCTGTTACTAAAACAGTCTGAACCGTAACATACTGAGATTGCTTTCAATACCATACACGATACCCTCGTCTATCGTTCCGAAAACACCCCACGAGTATGTCTCACGAGTCTTCTAGGAAGTGATCATCACATGTTAACAATGTATTTTACAGTTGTGATTTGAGGTTAAGTAAGTTGTGTAAGCTTTCGAGCGAATAAAACGTGGAAAGGCGAGGAGCTTTTAATTCCAACTGCGACAAGAAGAGGCTATTCGTGACAATACGACTAAGGTAGTCCCTGTCGTATATGTTCTAGGAAAATATGTATTTGCCATTCAAGATCACTGGAAATAGGAAAATCCTGGAAACTCTCAAGGCGTCAGCCCGACGCGTTGCTTTTCTTACATACATAACGAGTGCGTCTGAGGAATTCCCCAGACACCCCCGTATGTTCGCTCATAATTAAAAAAAGTTTCCAAACAAAAAATTCGAGGGAAAAATTCCAATAGAACATTTAATAAATTGAAACTGCAGCAGCGGCAAGCGATGGCAGTTGAGGCAGTTTTTAATTTGCACCGAGATTTTTTAAAAGGGTGGGGGCGAGAGAGGAGGGGGTAACAACGCGCAGCACAGAATAAAATCATATATATTCATCTGGTGCACGCTCCGGCCGAACAAAGGGATCGCCAGAGAGAGTCCGGAATTAAAAATCATTCATTTCATTCAAAATCAATCATTACATCTGGGCCTATTGTTGCCGGGCGGGTATTATATGCTCTCGCTACTGCCACCGGTTTTTAATCAATCTTAAAAACAACATAATTGATGCTTTTACGAGAATTATCAACGTCCTGGGGAGATTTCTTCTGGCTCGGACGGATTTTTATTTATTCGGTAGCTTTCGTAGATGGCAACTACTTAAGAGTATTTTAATCTTTACTGACAATGGTGAAACACAGTTCAATGACGAATTCTCTTCGATAATATACTAATGCTTTCCAGAGATCATTGTGATAAGATATTCTTTTAAAATTTTTTATACCTATTGACACCTACCATCTAAATGATGCTGAAAGGATGAAGAGATATCTTGGTAATCTGATTTTAGAACCATTTAAGAGGTCATACCGATCAGATGTATAAAGTAAGAGACAAAAAAATATTTTTGAGAAGATATTTGAAAAATCGATTGTAGCTTCTTAAGGGAATAAGATACTTCTTGGACGTACAAATAGAGATTCACTACTTGACTTGATTTTCAAGCTACTTGACTTGACATGACTTGATATCAAGTCAAGATCAAGTCAAGTATTTGCTTTTGAAATTCAAGTCAAGTCAAGTAGTTACACATCAAGTAACTTGAAAATCAAGTTTTCAAGCTAACTCTTGATTTTTCTTGAAAAAATGTACTTTTTTGATATTAATCTGTTCAACTGCCAAAACGGAATAACAATAAAAATCTATGTATATATAGATTTAATCTTTTATTTAAAAAACATCTGAAAACGAAAACTCTAACAAACTCAGTTTAATAATACATGAAATAATATGAAATAAAAATGCGAAATATTCTGAATTCTGACGATAAAACAATAGAAAATCAACAAACATGAAAATGAATATCTAAAATAAATCTTTAATATCCTGATTTGCCATCCATGATTTGAGACACAAAAGGCTTCTAACGGAGTTATCGCCTAATCGATTTCTTGTTTTGGTAAGAGTTAAGGCAGCTCTAGAAAACTGCCTTTCAACTGGAGCTGAAGAAGCTGGCGTTGCCAAAAAGTCTTTGGCCATTGCGGCAAGGCTTGGAAAAATGCATTCGTGTCTCTTCCACCATTCTAAAATATCTTCAGTACTGTCAGCTCTTGGGTCAGAAATATATTTGTCGATTTCGTAACGCCAGGCCATATCGCCGTCTGCATTATGGGCAGGTTTTCTATTAAACAAACTTAGTAGATCTATTTCAAACTTTTCGACACTACTATCTTTACTAGGGTTTGAAGATGCTGCTACTTGAAGTGATGGTTCAGAAATTTGCAGAGAGTCAGCCCTAAAATATTGTGCTTTAAAAATATCTTCAAAATGTTTAATTGCTTCTATCTGCAACTCTTTTCCCCAACTTGTATTGGAGAATGTATCCACTTTATGTCGGGGGTCTAAAATCAGGACAACACAGTACATCCAGTTAGTCCGTTCGTAATGTCTAATGATTTTGTCCCTTGCCGCTTGAATACTATTTATAATCTTTTCATCGATTTCATCTCGATCAGGTTTATTGTCAAGTACCATAGCCCACGATTCTTGTCTATCCAGCAACATATTAATGCCGATTATTACCATGGGTAAAGTAGCATATGATTCACCTTCTAAAATTATGGAAATACTCTTAAAAACATTAAGGTACTGGCAAATTCATTCAATTAACGACCATTCTGTGTCGGTTGGCTTTAAAGTTTTTAAATTTTCTACATTATCACAAAGGATGTTAAGTGCGTTTCTCATATTTAGACTCCATCTCAACATGTCTAACGTGGAGTTCCACCTTGTTATGATATCAAGTTTTGGCATAGTAAATTTCAGGTTTAAAGTGGTGCAAAATCTTTCAAAATCTTCACGTAAATGTTCAGAGTTTTTTAATTTTTTAGCAAGGGAATGGATTTTTCTTACAGAAGAGGGCGGAACTTGGCAGTCATCATCATCATCATCTGATATATCTGTCAAAATGTTGGCGGTTTCTTCAACCTCAGAATCAAGGATTTTCATAAAATCTCTAGCTGCCAAGTTTAAGATGTGTGCAAAACATCGTAGAATTGTAATACTTCGAAAAATAGCTTTGCAATTGCATTACCAGTATGTTGCCCATGTGCTGGCACAAAATCTAGCAGGATACAATGAAGTTTCCAATTTTTATCGATAAAATGGGCGGTAATACCATAGTACCCCTTCATATTAAAAGAAGACCATCCATCGATTGTGAACGAGATTTTTGAATTACATGTTTTCAAAAATGACTTAATTGTTTGCTGCGCTGCTGCAAATGTTTTTAATGTCAAAGATTTCATTTGATTCCGACCAGGTAGAGTTGCCTTTGGATTTAGGAATTTGTACATTTTTCCACTTATAGCATCTTCAAAAAAGTTGAAAGGGAGATACTTCTGTGCTATATATTCCACAAGTAGTATTTGAAATTTGTCTTGTTGAAAGTTTTCTGAACAACTAGTGGTCTGCAAAATAAACAAAACTGGAGTTAGTAAAATGCAGCGCAAGGTGCATGAATGTTTACGTCATAATATCCCACTTTTAAATGAAAAAGTAAGTAATTTTTTTGAAATGCCCTGTATAAAAATTTATAGCATGCCCCACAATTTTGAATAGAATGTCTTAAAGTCAATATAGATTTTTGTAAATATGCTCTGATGAGTTTTATTGATGCAGGGTGCCCAAAAACTGCTGCACCGACTTCAAAATCAGAATTTTAAATGAGACATCATTACACAATTATAACAACAAACAAAAATTATGTTATATTAATAAAAAAGCGGTTCTAAATTAGAAGTCGACAGTACTTCTTATATTTAAAAAACTTTTAGAATTGTTATCCGAAAGTTGTAATTTTTTCCGTTCAAGAGCCGCCTTTTATTTAATATTTCGATATTTCGCCTAACTCGATATTTATTAATAATTTATTAAACCTTTTTAATATAGAATGACTTTTAAAATCAAGGAACCTATAATGATTATAATAAACATTATAAAACTATAAGTGTGGCTTAAAATGAGCTGATCCGGATTTTGGAAAAAATAACTTTTTAAGGGGTTTTCGTGATCAAGCAATCCAAATTAGGCATTTGTTTTTTTCTAGCATGATTCCTTTATGTGTTTTTTTAAAGATTTTTCAAAAATGGATGAAGTTGGAAAAAACAAATGAAGGATTCTGGTGCAGCACTTTTCGGACACCCTATATAAATAAAATTCTAATAGGTAATTTATTTTTTTTTGATTGCCAAGAATCTTTTATATAATTTTTTTTTTCTACACCCTGTAGTTTCTGAGGAAGAGGTATGCTTACGCCCCTAATAAAATGCCCACCCTGTACAATTATTTACTATTTAGTTTCAGCTCAAATCTAATTATTATTAATTTTTTACCTTCTCAAGCCAATTTGTAATTGTGCTACGCCTATTCGAACTGGCAGAGGCTTCTGCTTCGGATTTAGGTGGGCTGGATCTACCAAAAATGTTTTCGTAGACTCTAGTGTGTTTAGCTTGCAAATGCCTCCTTAGTGAAGATGTTCCACAGCTTTTCATTTTTAAAACTGTATTTTTTACGACACATAGGGTACATTTGCCTTGTTTGTCAGTAGTTTTCTTACTCTTATTATGAAATAATCCTTAATTTTATTCGTTTTATTAGCTTTAACTCGTTTTCCCTTTGGTGGCACCGACCCTGCACTTTCTTCTTCTGGTTCGGTGTCATCAGATTCTGACACTTTTTCATTTACGATATATTCTGAGCCGCTGCTTTGAAAAGGTTCCGACTCCATTTCTGACAAATCACTTCTTAAATCAGACAATAATTCTTTTGCGGTCGCCCTTTATCCTTGAACAACGCTGCTCTACTAATCGCACGAGCACGTCCGTCGTCATCGAGTGCCTGCTTGCTGTGTGAATCCCCTATTTAACCTCGGTGAATCCCCTATTTTAACGCTTCGATGCGCATTTCACAGATCTACTATCAAGTAATATCAAGTAGTTTGATTTTACTTGATATCAAGTCAAGTAGTTCAGTCCGAAAATCAAGTCAAGTCAAATATCAAATTTTTAAAAGCTTGAGTTTTCAAGTCAAGTCAAGTCTTTAAGAAAGAATTCAAGCTACTTGTCTTGATGAATCTCTACGTACAAATAAGATAAGTAAGTGGCGCCTTGTTTTTTAGCTATGCATATACACCGAGAACCGAATTCGTCTGACGGCTTGAGTTCAATGTTTACAGGGTGTAAACGTTATGGTCAAAACAAGTCAAAAAGTTCATACGATCCATGGTCCAAAATTCAGTAGGTTTTTGTCTAAATGTCTTTATAGTTTACAACTTTAAGTACTTTATATCGACTACAATCACCACAATCTTACTAATTTTTATAATGTAATCTAAAACGTCTTAAAATTGGGTAATTAACCAATAAATGGCATTAGGTTCTTCTAAGTTAAGCCAAAATTTGTAGTCAGTAAGTAAGTAAGTTCAATTAAACTAAATATTTCAAACACACATGACAACAACGCATCGTCATCACTCTTATCGAACCGGCAATCGATCGCAAATGGTATCAGTGATTAGTTATCGGGCACCGGGCGTGCTGTTTTGTTTTTGTTCGCGTTGTCGGATTTGTTTACAATGTTCTCGAATCAAGAGTTCGCCGACATGTTAGTTTACGGTGCAGCTCGTCAGAATTCAAATCTTGAGCTCAAATTTAACGCGACAGATTTCGCCAACGCGTACACCCAGACAGAAGGACATTTGTGCAGGTGTACCAAAGACTTCGAGATACAGGAAGTGTTCAGCCCACTAACATTCGCACTCGTGAAAGACAGCCTACTGTAGAGCAGGAGGAACAAATTTTAAATATCGTGGAAATCAATGCTGATATCAGCACTCACTGGCAATATACGTTCTTGATTGTATCAGTATTTGCTCCATTTACTTGATTTGTTTAATGTGCAGTTCAGAGTCTCAATCCTTAAGCTTGTTACATACTAGCAGACACCGTTGCGCAATTTGTGTATAGGCAGTCTGGAGACGGTCTAAAGACACGATCTATAGATGGTCTCCAGACATCTTTCTTTGTCTTGTCTAGCGTCCATACGATAATGTTTATTTTTTGGTCTCATGTTCGTTTTCGCAATCAAAGACATTGTTTTGTGTGGAATGGATTGGGATATGTCTCGGGGTCCCTCAGAATGTTTAATTTTTTTGCCAGTTAACAGACCAATGAAGTTTTTTTTTGTTGGAATCTTTAATATTATTATACTAGTTAATTATAAATGCCACCTACTTATTTTGTTCTCATATAATAAAATATTGGCTTTCTGATGATTTCTGAACAATTTCCATGTTTTTCTTTTAAGCTGGCCTTGACCAGATAGAACACAATGGATTCAAGGAGCAATAATAGGATAAATTCTAGGAGTTCCACTGAAGTTAAAACGTGACCAGCCCCAAATATCGTTTGCGCCCTTAGACGAAATCCTGGCCGCCACGTAGGACTATCGCATACCATAGTCCATAGAATCCTACGGGAAAATTTGCTTTATCGTTACCATGTACAACGAGTGCAGGCTTTGTTGCCAGAAGATTATCCTCGCAGACTAATGTTCTGATAGTAGTTTATGCACAAAAACATTGAAAATCCGGATTTTTTTAAAAACATTATAGCGACGGACGAATGTACTTTTACGCGAGACGGGATATTAAATTTCCATAATACTCACACGTGGACCCAAGAAAATCCCCATACCATTTGTGAAGGTCATTTCTAACAACGTTTTAAAATAAATATTTGGACGGGTATTCTTGACGATCAGGTAATTGGCCCTTTCGAGTTACCCCCAAAGTTGTCAGGAGAAGGATACCTTAGCTTTCTAGCCAATAGCCTACCAGAACTTTTGGAACAGACCTTAGACAACAGGCCATTACAACGGAGACAGAATTTGTGGTTTCGTCATGACGGGGCACCACCACACATTTTTAGAGTCGTGATTCAGTATTTGAATGAACATTATTCAAATCGCTGGATCGGTCGAAATGCTCCTGATCCTCGAAATTGGCCAGCAGCATCTCCTGACCTCAATCCGATGGATATCTGGTATTGGGGAGAACCTAAAGGGATGGTTTATGGGGCTGGTCCAATAACAACTGAAGCACAACTTCGAGAAAAAAAATTTAATGCGGCTGAAAAAAGAGATGGACAAGATAATGACAAAGCCTATCAAGGCGTTACCTAGCAACGCTGACGCGGTAATCTGCCGCGTTGCCAAGATGCTACACCAGTTCCTTGAATTAAGATGCATATTTTAAATATGCATAAGTTTATTGTCCCCGATCGGTCCTAACGGCGGTGCTCCATTTCAGGTCGAAATGAAAGGTCGGGATCGCCACAAATTCTGTAACATTGGTTCGTCTGACAACACCGTATCTTGTACATTCCAAGGCGAGGTTTCTCCCTCCATGATCATAGCTGAGCGATTTTGGTCAGAAACCATCTAGTGATCGTAGCGAAATATCGTCCTGCTTTGAAATGGCTTCCACCTATAGACAGTGGTAATTTGTATAGCGTAACGTTATTTGTTCCATTCTGTGACAGCTGACGACTCAGGATGTGTTGATTTTATCACAATTCGTGGAAATCAAAGATAAATCTAAAATAAATTAATACACCAAATCGCATCAAAATTGAAATAAATGGTTCTAATCAAAATTAAAACAAAATATCAAATTAAATGTTCGATCAGACCGCCTCCTTGGATTTGAGAGTAGCCTAACCTATTGTATCAGCCTGTGTGAACATTTTCTGGTTTAACGTATTGGCAGATTGCACGACCTTCTGCATCATCGTTGCTAGACAATATGGTGATGACTTTCGCTCTTCAATCGGCTTTATATCTCTTTCTAAAATGTGTTGATACACACTTCTCGCGTTTCTCTCTCGTACACATTGATCTGAAGCCGTAAGACAAATTCGGTTTTCCCTGTATGTATAGAAACCCATTGTCAGTCTACTTTGTGAATACTTGGTATTTCGGCTTCTAGATAGGCCCACCGTTTTGGTTGTGCGACATATCTGCGCGTTTAAGGTAAGTACTCACTTGGAGACCACGTCGCGCGATTTTCTTTAGGTGGTCTAGAGACCATCTAGACTTGAGACATAGACATGGTGTAGATACACCGATCTTTACCTAGCTTCGGTACTGAACTACTAAATAAATTAAGATTGGAGGACAACATGGGTTTTCGTAATTTCATCCGTCTGATACCTTCTGACTTTGAAGAATTGCTTCAGATGGTTAGAGGAAAAATAATGAAGCAGGATACAAAATTTAGAGAAACCATCCCAGCTTCTCTTCGACTGGCAGTCCCACCGCGTTACCTGGCAAGTGGAGACTCGTTCACTAGTTTCATGTACACCTCCAGAATCTTTAAGCAGGTAATATCGAAAATGGTACCGGAAGTTTGCGAAGCGATTATCTCATCATTAAAACAACACATAAAGGTATGTATACAAAAATAATTTTATTTTGCACCAAACATGTTTATTTTAATTAGACATTTTATGAAATCAATGCGAAACATTTATAAAGTGGTATAATTCGCAACAAAATCGCGAATGTCATTGCTCATTGTATCCATTGACTCCAATTGTTGTTCAAGTTGAACATCGCCAACTACTTCTAGACTAGCAGATGGTGTAGAAGGATTCGAGCAACAAGTGTCTTGCGAAACATATGACGTTGGGGATGTGAATGAAGAACTGGAAGTGGAAGGTGGATGTGGCATCTGAATGGTCTGAAGGTCAGCAGCTAACAGACCCATGTCCAATCGAAATAAAATATGATTTATATAGCGCTGAGCCAATGAGATCTCCATCCTGGGCACAAGTTCTTATTTTATTTGCAACATACTCTCCATATACTGAATGCTCATCTCTGGCTGTAATAACTTTTGACAGAGACTTGAGGCAGTTCACAGCTTCTTGTGCAGTGGAGTCCTCATTTTGTCGGACACGTTTGGGAGTCCATCTTGGGGTTTTGAATGGTGGGTGTTTTTCCTCACATTCTGCATCTCCATTTGCTTCATCTTGTTTCTGATTATCAGCAGTATCCAACAGGAAGTCCTGAACCAAAAAGAAATTCGTTCAAAATATGAGCCACCAAGACATTAACAGAATAGTTTTTTATAAAACAGAATAAAATAATCTTAAATTGATTTGCTTCGCCCAGGACCTAGTGTGAACAACAGGGAGCCCGGCAAATATGGCGAAAGCCTCCGCTGAGGACTGATCTAGGAGGCGGATGGCGAAAACTGTGGCCTACTCTGTATCCCTCCACCCTATAAGCCCATAAGGCCACAATATTAATTTTATATTTGATGTACCTAAAAGTTAACATAATCTTTATTAAAAATATCCCATCGTTTCCTCAGATGCCCTCAAAAGTTAATGCAAAAAATATATTTATAAACAATTTATGATTTTTTTGTTTGTTTCAGAGACCGACTTCCGAAGCAGATTGGAAAGCTATTTCCCAGGAATTTCAGTGTAGATGGAATTTTCCACACTGTATACGTAGCATTGATGGTAAGCACGTTCAGATGGTGGCCCCACAACACAGCGGAAGCTTGTTTTACAACTACAAGGGTACAATGTTCCTTGGCGTTGCAGACGCCAACTACAACTTATTGTACGCCGATGTTGGATGCCAAGGACGTATTTCTGATGGGGGTGGTTTTAAGTGTACTTCACTATACAAGGATCTAGAAAACAATACCGCACACGTACCTAGAAGTGACGCATTACCAGGAAGAACGCAACCTGTACCATACGTTCTTGTGGGAGATGATGCTTTTGCTATGTCTAGTTATTTGATGAAACCGTACCCTGGTCGTACACTGGAAATTCCAAAAAGAATATACAACTATAGGCTAAGCAGAGCTCGAAGAATAATAGAAAATGTTTTCGGTATCATGTCTTCCAAATTTCGGGTGTTGCTTAAGCCGATAGCTCTACAGCCAAATAAAGTAAAGTCCGTCGTGTTGGCTTGCGCCTATCTGCACAATTTTTTACGTAGGAATTCAGAGTCAAGATATGCCTACACCCCGCCAGGAAGCTTGGACTCGTACGATGGTGATGGAAATGTAATTGAAGGATTTTGGAGAAGGGAAATTAATCATCAAGAGAATCGTTTGATGGATCTCCGCAACGCTCCTCGAAGATGTTCAGCAAACTTGCATAAAATTCGTGATGAATTTTGTGAATACTTTGTTTCTCAAGAGGGAGAGGTAGCTTGGCAATACGATTCAATATCGTAAAGCTATTCAGTTTTTGGTTTGCTTTACATATAGAAATATTAACTGTGGTCAAAAATTAGTTATGATTATTTTAAAAAATAGAATAGAGAATAATAGGTTGATTTAATTCAAAGTAATAACGAAAAACAACGGAAAAAATCGTAGATAAAGAATAAATGTAATTTAATAAAGCATTTAATAAAGTAATTTTTACTTACATCTTCCTTGTTTTGACTCTGTGTATCATCCAAGTCCGTGTTGCGGCTGCCCTTTGACTCATTCGCTGGCAGTAGGAATAGCAAATACTCGTGGGCAAGCCTTTTTGGGAGAGGACCCACTCGTTGGAAGAATCTTCTTTCGCTCCCGGTTGAACGATTTTTTTAAATTATATATTTATTTTTCTATTTCCTCGATTGAAACCATGTGCTTTGCAGCCAGTGATTCCAGGGCCGCTCTTCTTTTCACCCGGCTCTTGTAATCGGGACTCGTTACATCCCACAAACAAAACGAGGTATGATAGTCTTCAATAAATTTTAAAACTTTGTCGTTTGACCACATGGTAAACAAAAACAGCAGAGACCGCATGCACTTGTTTACAAAGCGAGAGAGGGACTGGGAAATGTCTCGTCTATAGACGCGAGGTACTCACTATCACCTTGTTCCGCAACGTATCCCAACGTTGCATCAAGTCTCCCATTTCAATCGGGAGACTTGAGACCTGCGATTTTTAGTTTCGCAACCGCCCCATAGACCGGATTTGGTCTATAGACATGTCTACCGAGACATACTGAGACAACTTTAGACATGTCTCTGAGACCAAAATCGCGAGACATGTCTACTAGTGAGTACTAGGCTAAACATGATCATTTTATATACCCGTTGATCGTTTTTCATTTTATATGAAAAAAATCTCGTTTATGAAACCTTTATTGAGTCGCATTTGAAATAAATTTATATTCGGTTTCTACAGTTATCCGCATTTCTAGACTAAACATCCATTAAAACGCTTTCCAAATATAAAAATCTTTATATCAAAATTTACTTGAAGCAGATTATACGAGGACCTTTTTCAAAGTAAGAACTGTGTTGTAATGGAGACAGATAAACTTTATTTATGAACGTAAATTGTGCCACAACCTAAATCATGAACGTTTTTTCATTTGTCAACCTAGTCACCATAAACATTTGTTGCCGTTAAACTAGTCAGTGACTGTGTCTTTCATCATGCAATTATTTTTCAAGTGCTTTCCACCAAGAAATTCCCTGAGTTTTGGAAAAAGTTGAAATACTGATAGTGCTGTCAGCGCTGTATGGTGAATGATCCCGTAATTTCCAACGAAGCTTGTCCGTTGCGTCTGTTTTCTTGCAGCAACGTGAGGCCGCGTCTTGCCGTGAAGCAGAATGATGCCGTTAGAGAGCAGACCCCGTACCTCTCAACATTTGCAGCAGAATACACTTTTTTTGCGATTACGAATCGATTTGCTGGGCGTACTTCACAATCGACGGGCTTACCGAGTAACATGACGACAAACAAACCTACATATAACTACGCAACCAACCCCGACAGAGACATGAAACGTAGGGACGGCGAAGTGAAGGACTGGCCAAGTGTGTCTGAGGTTGAACAGACGCCACGTGGCAGGATGCGCAATCAGTGCCCACTTTAAAAATGGCCCTCATAGTATAAATATAAACACTTGCAGCGAAAAATAACTTCATTGTGTTCGTACATCTAAAAGTCATTGCGTTGTTTTGAGCGAGCCTCAATATTACAGTTTTTAATAAAACAAAAATTACAGCTGAGTTCATCTTAACAGTTGACTTTTGTCCTTGAGTATCATACAACTAGGTAGGCAGTCTCATTTTGAAGGGGTTCCGATAAAAACGTGTTATTTCTTCAAAAAAGGGTCGATGATGTTTTTTTCGAACCAAGCCCATTCAAACCTCAAATGGTTGCCATCAACGGAAAGAAAATGAAGTTTGGAGTCGTCGTTCATTTTTTGCAGCCCTAATCGATCCTGAAAATTAAAAAAAAAACATCATTTAAATGGCTCCTGACAGCTTAGCTAAGGATAGTGAATGACAATATAGTCAACGCCAAACAAAGTGGCGTGCACGTCATCACGATAAAAATTCCCCGACCTAATGCCTAGGTTTCTATCACAAACAATTGCTCTATTGCAGTTTCATATTAATGTGATATATAAATTGTAAAATGGTCATTACTCTCTTATTATGGTTAATAGTCATATAAACATTGTTATTAAAATATCACATAAGTTGCTTTCTGATAAATTTAGACGCATTATGCGAGATAAAATGTTTTGCAAACGCTCCAATCACTTATCGACATGTAAACGCGCTAAACCGATTTCGCAGCGTTGACACATTGTCACCTTGAAACTTATTTAAACTGGGAACTGACATTTGTATTAATTTTGACACTGAATCAATTTGTGGCATTTCAAATCTTTATAAATCCTTTGGCCCCGCTTACTGTAAATCAACAACTGTTTGTTTCAAAACAAAATTATTCATTTTACGAGTAGATAAAGGCAATTTTGGTATATAAAGATGCCCAAACAGTTAGATAGTCGGTGTAAGGAACTCGTGGCCTCGTTAATGCACTACTTTGAGCAAGAAAGGGACAACAACGGGCCTTTGTTGCCTTTAAATGCTGTTCAAGAGGTAGGTTACTAATAATTATATGTAATGTATATTAATAATAGTGAAATTTTATTTCATTTTTTGTAGCGTGTTGCTGCTGCTTTAAAAATTAGTTTAAGGACAGTTAGTCGTATTTCCGAGGGTGTGAAAAGTGATGCAAATTTAGAATCGCCCAAGAAAAAGCGGAGTTATATTAAACGTGTAACCAACACAGCGACATTGGATACAAGTGCCATTCGAGAAGTGATCTATAATATGTTTCACAAAAGTAAGATCTTATTATAATAACTTATCAGAAATTTGCATTAATTTGTTAACTAAATTATAATGTCATATTACACATGGTTTCAGAAGAACAAGTTACGATACAAACTTTATGGTCTCGATTAAGAGATAGGGCATTATTTGATGGTAGTGCCACGTCTTTAAGGCGGTTGCTTAGAGATCTTGGATTTAAGTGGCTTAAGGACAATCCGCGACGAGGGCTCATGGAACTACCAAGTATAGCTTTGAAAAGGGTGGAATTTCTAAGGCAATACAATCAAGCCAAGGTTGAGGCCTTATACCAGTTTGTCTTCCTCGATGAAACTTGGATATTTCAAAATGGGACCATAGGTCGCTCTTGGCAAAATGGAAACCAAAAAAGCGTGAAAGCTATTAAAACAGATGGTAAAAGGTATGTACTTTTACACAATTTGCACTATAAAATTTAAAACTAATATATTTTAGATACATTATATTACATGCTGGAAATGAAAATGGGTTTATTGAGGGTAGTGAAGCGATATTTTCTTCGAAAACAAAATTGAGCGATTACCATGGAGAGATGAACCAGGACAATTTTTTGAAATGGTTTCAACATCAGTTATTAGAAAAATTGGAGAGTCCATCTATGATTATACTGGATAACGCCCCTTATCACAGCATGATATTGAACAAAGTGCCCAACAATGCATGGACAAAAAAAAAAAATATCCAAGACTGGTTGACAAATCAAAACATACCATTTTTAAACACAATGTTTAAAACAGAGCTATTGAGTATTGTTGCTCGGTACATAATGCTTCTTAATTATATATATTTTGGTCGACAGTTTATATTTCTTTTGTTTATTCCTATTCTTAAAATAACTGCTTTTTTAGAAACAAACCACCTAAAATATACGTGATTGATGAATTGGCGGAACAACATGGGCACAAAGTTCTTCGTCTGCCTCCTTACCATTGTATATTTAACCCTATTGAGTTAATTTGGGGCATAGCAAAAGGTTACTATAACAGACATATTGGTAGAGATGGTAACAGTGAAAAAGACTGTTTGGATATGTGGAACGAGGCTCTACAAACGGTTACCCCAGACATGTGGAAAAATAGTGTTCGACATACTGAGCAAGAAATTTTTAAATGGTATGAAAGAGAACGAATTTTTGATCGACCAGACATCGAACCTTTAATAATCAACTTTGAGAGTGATGAAGATTCAGATTCAGACAGCGCTGAAGAAAGAAACTCCGACTAACTTTATTGTACAGAAAAAGCTTACACCAGTAGCTTACCTAATTTTAGAATGCATTTTTCTGTATGAATTCTGTAAAATAAATACCATGCATAAAATTTGGAGGACCCCATTTGGATTTTTATTCAGTACCTTTAAGCTATCAATTAAATATGGTAGTTTCATAGTGTCATCTGATCAATAATTGTCATACTTAATGATTATGCAAGTACAGATCTATAATTTTATTATACTATTATTTTTGTTCTCATTTGAGGTTAATATTGCTTATAAACCTAGATATGTAAATAATAAATTTTATTATTTTACAAAAAGTTTGGCAACAATGTAAATTTTTCAACACACCCACCTTGATGACGCGCACGCCACTTTGTTTGGCGTTGACTATATCTGTAACATTTTCCAGTTCTCAAGATAAATGATCATCGAAATAATCTACCACAAAACGCCATATAGTAAAAGGAATCCACCACTGCGAGGGCGAAACAGCAAGCTGTATGTTGGATCTGTATTCCAGTTCGCATCGTTGGCCGTGTCACCACATTGGCCGCTAAATGCCTCCGATAATGGATATATAGTAGATACGGTTAACTCGCCATTGAACAAACTAGTAATCTAGCCTTCGTCCGTCCGACCTCAGATGGCCAACCACGGATAGCTGTTTCGTGCTTTTTGGCAATTCATGGCTTGGTCTCAGGACACTGATGTTACTCATTTTTTTTCCGGAATCACTTTTTTAAACAGCTGTCCATGGTTGGCCGTTACTAGTTCAATGATCATGTTTCTCAATTTTTTTCTGAATCTCTCTCTACAGATTTTACGATTGAAATCATACTGAGATTATCTACAGTACACAGAAATGCTCTTTTCAGAAAAGATAGAAAATGAGGTTTACCATCTGTGGTCTTGAAATACACAAAAGGCAACTAAAATTTTAGCGGTGTGCTAAGAAATGCAGAAAATAGTCATGAACATTCTTTTTTCAATTTTTATATTTCCAAATCATTTTCTAAATTTCAGAATTTTACCAATTATTTTCCAAATTTTAATTCCGATTTTTTACAAATTACAAATTATAATTTTTCAAAAATTTTAAATTCCGATTTTTATGAGATTATTGTATTGCCTTCGCCCTTTGACCCCGTGCAAGATTAGGTTGAAAGATTTAGTTACATATAAGTCAAGCAAAAAAGGTGTGTTAAAAATAAAGACTCTGGGTATTTCCGGGACCTCAGAGTAATCCTCTGCGTAAGCAAGCTTGAGGAAGCTCCGTACACAGCCTGAAGAGTTTTAGTACAAAAGTTCTTGACAATGCTGACATACCTACTGCTTTCATGGTAGATCTATCGTACATTGCAAGATTTCCACCACTTTTTACTTCATAAGCTCAGGTCATATACGTTTAGACCTATCACTTTTTGCAATGAAATGGAGATAATTGCCGCTTCTTATTTAATTATAATCCAACGGAATGTACTCATTGCATAAGGCTCAAAAGTTGCGTTTGAAATCTTCCATTCGGTTTCTAAATCTATGGTTTTATGAGCATGGTGTCTACTGTCTTTAGCATTTTTGATCTAGTAGCCCTAGTTTTTGGTATCTAGAAGCTTTGGGGATGGAGTTCTTAACGTTATTGTCTCCCGCTATGTATTATACATTTTGGAGGGAAACTGTGATTTACATGTATTACAAACGATTACATGTAAAGTGTAGAATGAAAGATTTCGCTTAGAACATCTCGTTTGAAGAAAATGTTGCTTGAACTAACAGATTGAATTTTCCCGTAAAAATAAAGCTACAACTGCGATGACGTCACTCCTGCTATCTGTTGTGATTAACGTCGAGCAGCTGATTTTACAAATACCGAAATGCATTGTCCTTAACAGAAGTGACGTCTACTGTTGAACAACGGCGGATCCAGGATTTGTGTCTGGGGGAGGGGTCACACTGGTCAACAAGCTTCAGTTCAGGAGGATGTTCTTCACGTATTCAGGGGGGGGTTGTCCGTCACAGTGGCCGACTTAAGTATTGGCCTCCCCCCCCCCCCAAGGAAGGGTGGTCACAGGGCCCCCTCAGCAAAAATCAGCTCTAGCGTCTATATTGTTCAGTGCGTCTTAATGTAAAATTGGTAACCATAAATCAGAGTGTGGTTATATTCTTTTAATGACTATCTGCGTAATGTTTATGAAACAGCGCGATAGCATTCAGTTTGAATAAGTAAATTTCCCTTTCATTTCTTTAGAAATTTTTTAAAAAATGACTATTTCATTTCTATAAAAATGACCGAATGACCCTTTTATTTCTCAAGGAGTGGAGGGGTTATTTTTTCATTTTGTTCTTACAGTGATATATTATTACCTGGCATACAATGTTCAGTAAATAAATATCTTCTAATGAAGACTCTAATCCGTCTATTACAGCATTTTCACGTTTTCAATGCTTATAACCATAAACTTTCACACTACTGTGCATTTTTTTATTTGATGACATCTATTTTCTTAGTGATAATATCGTGGAAGAAATTTTTTGAATGTATTATCAATTCTGGCGAAGATATAATGAATGCAAGATCTATTCTTTCCTGCATGAACTGGACCTTTTTCCTCAATTTCTTCTGGTGGCATTCAGTATTGAGCGTAATGTGTTGACTTGATGATGGCTCAAAGGTGCGTTTCAGCAGCATTAAAAAAATTACAAGGTTTGAGGAGCGAAAGCTCATACGATAACTTTGTTCTGAAGGCTAAAAATAAATGGGAAGAGATGGAATGGGAAAATCCTGGTTTTCCCAATGTCAGAAAGAGGAAAATCAAAAAAATGTTCCACGAAAAAGCTGCTGACTCGTCACTGGAAACACACGAAAAACATCGAAACATTACTACGACGTTTTGGATTCAATGAGTAACGAATTGCAAGAACGTACTGAAGGATTTCGTGAAGTGAATGATGTGTTTGGTTTTTTGATGCCGTAGGAATTAGTCAATCTAAAAGAAAACGAATTAGAAACCAGCGTCACTAATTTGATGGAAAAATATTCGGAATTCTTCACTACAGATCTAAAATATGAATGAGCCAGTTTTACGTGCATGTATTTTTCGGAAAATCATAATTTTACTACACCCGCTAGATTATTTGTAGTTCATGATTGCAAACAATTTTGTAGACAGTTTTCCAGAGAGCTGCAGTTTATTCAGCCTGTTTTTGACTGTGCCTATCGGTTCAGCTAGTGCTGAAGGCGTCATGAGCTCTTTGAAAATTATTAAAGAATACGGTCGAGCTTCTTTGGCTAAAGACACACTCAGCAACTTCTCTATCCTCTATATCGAAAAATCAGGTACACTCAATTTGGATTCTGCGATGGAAGTTTTTGCTGAACGAAAAGCAAGACGCGGATTCAACTTAGAATAATTCTGTTGTTTTGCATTGATTACATTTTTGCATCAAACTACTATTAAAAAACCTTTTGCACCCTCCACGAGCTTGTTTCGGTTACTTGTACAAGTCTTTCTAATTTTTTATTCTCACTTGCTGTCATTAGTTTGCAAATAGCGATAAATGTGGAGAATGTCACTTTCGCAAATAGTGCCCAGTATATATCCTGTAGTAATGCACGTTATTTAACGTATTTTAGTGTTGTTCACCAAGTTTGCATTCAATGAAATATTAATCACGGCAAACATGACAACAAATATCGATCATATTTGTTTTTTTTTCTTATTTATAATTTTATGCAAAATCTATAAATAGCGTGCACTCCAAATTTAACTCGACGCCCTTTACTTATCGGTAGCATCCGTGATAACTTTTAAACTTTATTATGCACAAAAAGTTTGCTGGTGAATCATCAAGTTTTTATTTTTTATCAAATTTGCTCACAGCTTAAGCGCGCGCGAAGACGTTTTTCCTACATCAAGCTGACCGCTTAGGCAACCAGTCTTGCGCTATCATCTATGAGCTTACAGTTAAATCAAAGTTGACGGATGCAGTGCTGCCAGTGTTTAGTAGAAAATACCAGTACGGCATCCAATTAATATGTGTGCATTACAGATTTATCTAAGAGATTTGGAACTTTAAAAATTGGTGGTCGAACTGAATTCACCTGGGGAGGTCATGACCCCCATGACCCCCCCTGGATCCGCGCCTGCTGTTAAAATCTTCGTTAAACAAAGTAAGAACGTCGCAAAGATCTTCCTTCCATATCACGCTAGATCAAAAAACTGGTAGAGCCAAAAAGTTTGACCATAAAGTCCTTGCTTAATACGTATTTCAGAGCTGATATAATAACTTACGTCGATGTATAAGGAAGATTCCTGCAGCGTTTCGATATCCACCGACTGGCCTGGCTTATAGAATCCAAACCATTCTGATTCCACAGGTTGGACCATAGTGTCATTGTCGAATTTGATCATGACGAAGTTATCCAAGGATTGAAGTCGTTTAATATATTCAGTCTTTATAGTGTTCTCGTTGTTTATGTCTGATAGAAAAGTACTGTATTTCCGGTACATATCTTCGTTCAAAGGGTCGTGCCAGAACGTTGCTTGGACTAACATCTTTTGGACCCATCTGAAACAAGTACAAGGTTGTTAATTCTGAGCAAAACTTCCGAATCATCAAGATAGGAGCTGTGGAATCGAATCACATTTTTTAAATCCGGAAAGAAACATTGACCTATGGCGAGCTTGATCCACGCATCTTTTACTTGTGGAGCTCTCACACTTCCGGTACTGTCTCCTAACGACTATCGTCATTCTTCCAAATTTCTATCGGTAAGGCAGCGATCTTTGATACATTATTAAGTAAGACATGATGCTATAACTCGAGAAGATATGCTCACTTCGCGATCGAATTTCGTACGCCGCGCCGTTGCGAATGGCGTCACTTAGTGACAAATGTTCCGATCGTCGATGTGAAATGCATTATACAGGGTGTAAACGTTATGATAGACATTATATAAATGGGTGATAGAGTGGGTTAAAAGAGGTTTGTCGTCATTTTTAAATCGAGCAAACCACTCGTACACATGAGTTTTTCCCATAGCAGCATCTTTGTAAGTTATTTTGAACATTAAAACAGTTTTAGCAGCATTTTTAACAAATCGACAGCAAAATTTCACAGCTGCACGTTGCTCACTGAAGCTTGCCATCGTAAAAAACGGAACAATCACGAAACAGCTCTAGCAAAAATAATGACTACATAGGAACTAAACCAGCCAGATCGACAACTCAGTTGGCACTGAACTGGTAATGAGTTGCGCTATACGCCCCCAGGTGCAGAAATGTGTACTACCCAAGCTCTGCCCACTGCAATGCTACTCCTGTTATTTTTGGGTATCTCCTCGAAAGAGCGTTTTATTTTGGATATTCGAAATATTTGCCTAAGATTCTTTTTGTGTTATTTATATTATATTATTATATTTTGTCAATACAATTTAATGAAGTATATCATTATAGAGAGAACATACAAAGTGACATATAAATCCGAACACCCAGTTTAAATGGTTTTATTTTAATAAAAGTTGGTGAATGTATTTATCTTACTGTAAATAACAAGTGAAAAATTTTTCAGCCTTATCAGTTGGACATTCCGGTTTTTATACTGCTTTTTTTTAATTCACTAACGCTCTGAAAATGAATATTTCAGCCGCAGTAAAGAATCAACGTTGGCGGATTTTGGTTCTTGACATCCTTTACGATCGGTTACGATGCCTAGAGTACGGAGACCTGTACGATTTCGCCAACTTAGTGAGTTTGATAGGGGCCGTATAGTGGGACTTCGGGAAGCTGGACTTTCTTTTCGGGCAATTGCAGTTAGAGTGCAAAGAAGTGTAGACACTGTGGTTAGGTGTTGTCAGGCATGGCTTCGAGAAGGCCGTACGCAAAGAGCAAGGGGCACTGGACGCCGCCGTAGAACAACAGACCGTGAAGATCGCCACCTAAGATTATTGGTCTCCACTACCAGGTCCATTGCAAATGAATGGTTTGCAGAACACGGAAGACCTATTGGCATGCGAAGTGTTTACCGACGAATGAGAAGTTTTGGCTTGTTTTCATACCGGCCACACTGGGTCCTCCCTTTAACTCGAGAACACCGACGTAATCGCCTTGAGTGGTGCAGACAACGGTCACTCTGGGATCAGGAATGGAACAGTATTGTCTTTAGTGACGAGTCTCGATTTTGTTTAGGCATGCACGATGGTCATGCCAGGGTTAGAAGGCGACGTGGTGAAAGGAGGAATCCACAGTTTTTTATCTTATCCCCAATTGAGCACGTGTGGGATGTGATGGGTAGGAGATTGCTCAATTTGCAACGTCCTCCTCAGACTCTAGAAGCACTTCGAGAGGAGTTGGTGGTTGCCTGGAATGAGATACCACAGGAGAACATTGACCACCTGATCAGAAGCATGCCTAGGCGCGTTGGAGAATGCGTAGCACATCAGGGTGCATCCACACATTATTAAAGGTCAAAGGGCTTTAAAGCAGTGCAATCATTTTGAAATTTTTATCATTTACTTATTATGCTTCATTAAGTATTTATACAAAATTTTATTAAAATAAAACCATTTAAACTGGGTGTTCGGATTTATATGTCACTTAGTATAGTTGTATACGTTTAGATATTTATGCAAATAATGTAAACAAGTAGGAAATATTAGTTTACTTGGGTCGATCGCATATATGTAACGCCTGTGAAAATGATTTTTGAATAATTAGAAACAAAGTTATATTTTTAAGTAAATTGGGGACATTTCTAAATACAATAAAATACATTCTGGAAACAAGATCTCTCCATTTGACTGACACCGTCCAGCGCCAGCATTTTGAATCACTAGGCCGTTGTCAATCAGCCGTCAGGACTGATGCATATGCTGTCTTATTACTTCTTCTTACTATAACTACTCTTACTTGTCTAATCGAACGCAAAAGGTGAAAACCAGTAAAGGTGTATCTGTGCCCAAGTATGTTCCTTCTAGAGTTCCACAGGGCTCGATCTTGGGACCTCTACTTTATTTGATTTTCACGTTTGACTTGCATAACAGTGTTGAGCATTGCGCAATCCAAACTTATGCAGACGATACACAGTTAACATTTAATTTGACTCTAGCAACTTCAATGAAATTTCTTATACACTTAATGTCGTCTTAGCTAATATTGATAATTTCTGCAAACGGCACTCACTGAAAATAAACCCTAGTAAATCGAATGCTATTGTCTTTAGTCCACATAATTTTCCAGTTAATGTTGTTGATCTAATCCAACTGTCTGTGAATCATACTGTCATACCCTTAGTTAACGAAGCAAAAAACCTGGGCGTTTTTGATAAAGACCTCCTTTTTAATCAGCACGTGAATGCCACCCTCAAATCCACATATATATCGTTAAAATTATTATATTCAAACCGGCACATTCTTAATTTCAAAACGCGGAAAAAACTTGTTGAGAGTCTTGTGTCTAAAATATTTTATTCGCTGGTTCTTTATTATCCTTGTATTGATTATAACACTAAATATAGACTGCAGAAAATCCAAAACAGTTGTTGTCGGTTCGTATATGGCCTCAGAAGGTATGATCACGTATCGTCTAAGATAAAAGAGCTAAAATGGCTAAAATTTGATAAACACTATACTTTCTCTTTGGGTGTATTTGTCCATAAATTGATTTCCACAAGGTCACCCATTTATCTTATGGACAAACTTGTACCTCGTGGTCAAGTCATTTCTAGAGCCCTACGACATAACCGTCTCTTCGGTATGCCATTCCACAGAACATGTATATTCCGAAGATGTTTTACGTACAATGCTATCAGGACTTACAACTCTGTCAACCAGGTACTCAAGTCCAAAAGCTTACCTGTTTTTAAAATTAAATACAAATCTGCTCTTTTAGAATTGCCTTTTTAAAAATCCCTGATGATTAGCCGACTGATTTTGTAGCTTTTGTAAATTTTCCATGCTTTATACATTCTGTAATTGTTCATTGTTTTCTTTTTATTTTTCTGTACTGTGCTATTGTCCTTATTATTATTATTATTTTTTCACTTCGTTTTTGAGGTTAAGTGGTAGAGTAGCCATGTGGCTAAACTTCGCCTCAATTCGAAGGTTTCAATAAAGACATTTATTTATTATTATTATAATTTCAGATTTGATTTGTACTGTATCAGGCAAGCAGAAATACAATCTAGTGCATGGGTGCATATTATATAGTTACGATATAGTAAAAGGTTACTTACATGTGCAGGTTGAAACGACGTTTAACTGAAGTAGGCAACCTTTTTTACATATACATCACCAAACGAATTATTTTCTTTTATCTTTGAACAAAATGAGCGTGCCCCATATTGCTTTTATAGTTGCTGGCTTACTAACGTTTTGACGCAAGGCGAGTAAACTTAGCCTCAGCTATGCTATATACGTTGTATACACTATTGCATACATTGTGTACGTGTGGTTTACATTGTATACCCATGTTATACCTTGTCGAAACGTAGATACTTAAAGTATACGCGTTCATCACTACCCTCTAGGGTAAATAACTGAATTCGTCAATTACCTAGGTTATGGTAATTTAAACACAAATGTGTGAGTCAGTATCCGAATATATTACCGTTTCCTGAATATTGCTGTAGGATAATACAATGGACAAAGTCTTTCTGTGTATGAACAAAAGTGTACAGAGACATTTTAGGGCCAACGGCGTTAGCAGATGCACTGATCCTCTTCAGATGACTCATCTTCAGAGACTTGAAGCTTCGCATAGCACATTAGCGGAACCCTCCGAGGATCCATATTGCACTCGCCGAAAGGTCTGACATATTTGGTGAAAATAATCATGAAATGCTCAGATTCCAGTACTTCATTGCGGGTGGTAGGCTGCTGACGCCATCATGATTCCAAAGAATGTGGATTCGGTATTTCCTCAGGATTACCGTACCATTAGTCTGCTGGCAGCTCTTCTACGCTCGCCCGAAAAGGTGATTTATCGTCACCTTGAGAATTTTTCTTCAGCTCACCATGTGATTTCTGACGTGCAATTAGGCTTTCGGTACGAGCGCAGCAACGAGCTACGGAGGGCTCACCCTCAGCATAAGTCCTGGCATCTTTTTGGATGTCTCAAAAGCTTTCGACTAAGATGTGACACGCGGGTCTCCTCTATAAGCTAATACAAAAGGGTTTTCCCTTTTGTCTTCTAAAACTACTGGAATCATTCCTTGAAGGAAGGAAGTTTCGCATCGAAATTAACACATCTTTTGTCAACAACGCGGCCAGTACGGTGTTCCTCAGGGCTCGATCCTAGGACCAATCATTCAATCGCTTTTGATCCACGACGTCCTTCGTCTCAGCAACTGTGGCGTCTACCTCTACGTTGAAGGACACTGCTCTTGTCGTACTGGTGATCTGGTTCACGATGGGTCGCAGAGTGCGGTGGATGAAGTACAAGAATCATACGAAAACGCAAGCTATTTATTGTACCCAGCCGAGGTTTCGGTAGACGGGGAATCGTATATCATAGAGAAATTCTGGCAAGTAGCTCGGGTGTCAACCTTGACCTGGCAGAAACATACAGCAGCGTAAATTCCAATTAGTAAGCCCAAAATTACACTATAACAAAACCTGAATCAAAACTTGTTTTGTTGGAAAGTCTAGGTGTCTCCCTTTAAATTAATATACTTCTGTGTTTCTTTGCTCTTCTCTTACCTTTTCTCTTTTTCCCTGAAATTGTTTCTGGGCAACCAGGACTGACAGATTCGACTAACGTATATTTACAGTGACGGATGGAAAAAAGTCCTATGGACCGCCCTGACAAACACATGACGTATAGTTCGTAGTTAGTTCTACAGTAATCAATAGTTATTAACTTACAGATCCATCGAAAACTTTCTCCAAGTATCCCG